TCATATTGTGTCTGTAAATATCCTTTCTTGTTTCATGTTCTCGCTTAGAAACATAACTTTTCTTGTATCTCGTCTTAAACGAGTTAAACAGAGAATTCACGATATCTTCATAGTGTCGCATAGCAACATTATAGCCCGAACTCGGCTTCTTACGCGATTCACGCTTTATGCTGCCTATGTTCTTGGGGACTGGTGACGGGTGAATGGCTTGTTCTTTCTCAGTATGCTGCTGATTACTAGACATTGCGGTGGCCTCAGAATTACCATCCTTGAGCAGTGGCATTTTGTTTAAGGTTTCTAAGAGAAACTGTAGCGGGTCAGTCGTTGAAGGCGAAGGAGCAGTTGGATGAAAAAGATTGGATGGGTGAGATAGAGTGAAAGGTGAACCTGATGTACTATGAGGCATGAATTCCAGCATTGGATTTATATCTCCGACGGATTTCTCCAGTTTTTCGTGAGAAAAATCAAAACATTGAAGATCTAAATGACAAGAAAAGAAAGCGTAATTAGCAACTTAACAGCATCAAGCTATGTGCAAACGGACGCAACAACTCCCAACAATGTTGGGACCTGCAGTACATCGTGGGAAGGAACAACCCACAAGACTTTGGAGACCATGTGTAATGCGCATGCGTGGCCCTAACAATTTTGGAAGAGCTGTGCCAGCGGATCCAACATTGTTTCGCTACGCCTTCACGATCACGGAACAAAAAAAATGTTAATTGGGAGTTGCTGGCTCAAACGTTTGACTGGTTTCAGACTCTGCGCAACATCTCCCAACAACATGCGACAGGGTGTGCTGAACGGACGCAACATGTAACATCCAACCATGTTGGGAGTGGTTAGCCAATAATGTTGCGTCCGTTTGCACAGGGCTTTAAACATCCCTTGAAACCTAGGACAAAACTAAGCCATTATGCGTGAGAAATAGGAGGAAGGGAAGTACTTTCATTTATCTGGTTCACCGTGATTCAGTTTATTCCTTAAAAGTGCCAATCAGCTCTACATTTAAGAAATCTCACGTAACACTTACATACCTGTAGGTACTTCAAACACTTTATAGTTAAACTTCCAAGCTTCGAATTTCTCGTAATCCAGGATATAATGATCATAGTAGGAGGACAGTAGCGTGTCGTACCCCATCATTTCATAGCGGATTGGTTTTGGTGGTCGGTGTTTAGTTGTGTACAGAGTATATGTGTTGACCTTGTCATAAATTGTAAAGGAATGTTCCCATTTGGCGCATTCAGTACCATTCACTTCAGCATCACCTGAATACTAAAAGGCAGTCAGTGGTTAGCAGAGGTAAGGGCGGGGAGGACTAAAAAATATTGGTTCGGCAGTATAATATTAATCATTTTTATTATTGGTGGCCAGGCGATTTCCGGCCTCAGAGAGATTTAGAGCCAAGTTAACGGCAAATTGCCAGCGTGCAGACGTCTCTTATTTCCTTTGTTGCACGCAACAAAGGAAATACATTAAGAGACGTCTCCACACGGGACATTTTGATTTGAAATCACTCACCCTTCCCCCTTCCCCTCTCCTTCTGCAAGAGTTTCATGGTCGGCCCTAATGGGTCAACATTTAGGCACTACGGCACGAGCTATTCGAATCTATGCACTTTCAAACTAAAAAACGTACCCTGAAATACAGAGGTGCTGGTATAATGCTTTGTGCTTTAATGGGGAATTTTTTTGTCCCTCTTCGATGAAGGCACCCAGTGAAAGTTTTTTGCTTCTCCTCTGAATATTCAGGGACTATCTTGCACGCAAATCCGTGTCTACCAAGATCCTCACGCTGAAAAGTTTTGTCCATCCCTAAATTGATTCAAGAAAAAGATGCATAAGAGCACAAGCGGAGATATCGATATAGCAAATAAGTCCAGGAACTACAATGCAATAGATTGCCTCACTTGTTTACTTTATCTAAAGTCACGTGTTCTTAATTTACCTCACAGTTCCTAATCTACGTCGCATGCATATACAGCTCCTTTGCCTCCCAGAGGCTTCCCAGAGAACACTGAGACGGGCTTAATGTTTAGGTTGCGGGCGCTTTTGCAAACCTCGTTAAAACAAAGGAACATTTGACCTCACACTCAACAATATTACCAGCTATTTTTTCTACTTTCTTCTCACCATTATAGTAGTCAATTCTGCTCATCTTCTTTGTTTTTGAGAACCAAGCTTCGAATGGCTCCACAATATCGCCATAAGGAAGCGACAATATGCCTTTAGTGTGATAATCATCCGGGAACTGCAGTATTTCCTCCACTGTAAGCACGTGACGCGTCATGCGTTTCCCAAGAGGAAGATCCGAGTATTCATTCCTTTGGTTCAAGCAGAAAAACACCACTCCTTCAATATGAAACAAGACAAAAAACATGAATGGAGAATTTCAAGTTATCTTATTAAGTTAAGCAGTCTCAAAGTAACGTGATCGAGTCGTGTCTGCATGGGGACACGATTTTCGTTCGTATCGTTCAAAAAGATTTTTTAGCAACGAGAAGACGCAAAAGGATTTTTTAAAGTTTACGATCTAAAGTATCGTAGTATGTGGCTTGAAACAGATGCTTAGATTATTGAATTATTGAGAATAAATGGCACATTTTATAAGGTATTTGTACTGGCTTTGGATTTTTCGCATTCTTAGAAAGCAGGGAACATTAATGAAGTAAAAAAGGTTCAGCTCACATTTTTGTTGACTTTTTCACTAAGGAACATTTTAACGGAAGACGTTTTTGCGGAGGGGGTGGAAAAGGCAGAAGGCTTTTACTCCCTCCCCTCCCCCCTTCTTCGCAATAAGTTTTCTTCACTAGCTGGTCGACAAGGGAGAATTCTCCATGTTCAAGGATTCGGCAGCAAAGGCTGAATCTGTTAAAATTTTACGCAAAACAGGCTGAAGTTGGCGGCCTATAGAATCGTCGGAAAAAAACAAAGACTTGCCATTCATCTGTCATTATTTAAACGACAGGACGTGCTGTGGATTCATGCAAACAATCTTCCATGTGCACAGTTGTTTAGGTGGCTTATGGTCAACAGCATGAAAAAGTGAAATCAAGCGTACTTACCAACTACAAATGCCGAGAAAAGAATAAACAAACGTCTTCGTGCACTCCGATTCTTATTAACTGCTGATTTAAGCCACAACGAAACTTTCACCATAAATGTCAACCAGAAATCGAATCAGCGACCGCAACCCTTGCATTTGAAAACCCAGTACTTTTCAAACAATGCATATGAGCGTAATTTCCTCCTTAATTTCGTCGACAATTTCGCATCGCAAAATTTTTTCTCCTAAACTGAACCCAAATCGTTGTACATTATGCGCTGGGTGTGGCTTTATCACATCAATTGTGTGAAAGTAATTTTGGTGCTGTGACAGTGCATTAGGCGCCATAATCAGAAACTGTTTGAGTAAGTGACGATATGTTTTGCCGCGCTTTCTTCGGGTGGCAAAAGGGCTTTGCTACGTTGGGACCTGCTAGATTCCAGCTCATATCGGTTGTTACTAAACGGTCACACAAGATTCTCCTTGTTACGTTATTAACCCACAAAAAAAAGCGCAGGAAAGAAAATTGACGAAATTTTTAAAAGTATCCAAGCTTTCACATATGAATTATATACAACGGGAGCCCATCAAGAGAGGGACGATGAATTTAAATAGTTAAAAGTTTACTTCTCAAAAGCATTTTGTTGCAAAAAAATCCCAAGAAGTCAATCAACTGCAAATATTTAAAAAAACGGTGAATTTGTAACAGGGAGTAGTAATTTACCCTGGCTGAGATATAACATGACCTTGCAGAACCAGCCTGAACCTTTGGTATTTATTTTGTAAGTCCGAAAATGCTCTGTTACGTTTTCACCCATCCATCTATAACGCTTTCGACATAAAACAGCTTGTATTGCGGGCGTTTTCTTGGTGCGCGCGAATTGTTTTTGCTCGCTTTACCGTAATCGGCTGAATGCTAAAAACATTCCAGGAGTTGTGGCGACTCATTGCAGGATAGACATTATATTAAAAACTTTTGTAAGTATATATTCATGCAGAAATTATGATAACCACCTGTTTACCAAATGACGGGTACCAGGCGCGTTCACTGTTCATCGACGTAAATACTTAATACTTCCGTTCGTTCATCAAATCATGATATCTCACTGATTTTAAAAACGTCCCTTCATGAACGAAATGCCCGTTTAACGTGAATTGATATTTAGGTTATAACTCGTGTCCCCGCAAACTCAGCAAAACCTAGCGAGGTAACGGTACCCAGGCTCCACGAAGGATGGGGCTAGGGGGCTAGGGGCACTGGAATCCAATGTTACCTTTGCATTGCATGATGGGAGTTAGTGAGTCAAAATGGCGGAGAACTTGAATTCAGAGTTTTGGCGTAGCATTGACGAACTCAAACTTCAACTCCAGTCCATGCATAGAATTGAGCGACTCCATCGACTAAATGAGGAAAGTGATAAAGAAAATGTTGTGAGAATTGAAGAACTATCCAGGTAAGGATTTATCACTAGAAATTCTGTAAGTTGATAATTTTCATGTACCTATGAACATTAATTGTCTTCTGAACTTTGGGGTTCGCATTCTGTAGAGCATTTAATTTTCTCGATAAAAGAGAGATATGAATGCATTAAAACGTCACTCTTATCGCTGAATCACAATAAGAATGATTTAAAAACAAGTTACTCTTCTTAAGCTTCTTACTATTTAAGACATTTAGGCTCAAGTTAAACCACGGTATATTAGCAACGACCCAAGCCAATATAATTTTTCTTTACTTTTAGGGGACCGTCGCTTTATAGAGGAAAAACTTACTGAATCCACGAGCAAAACGACTAGTTTACGCGACAACGAGACGAATTTAAACGCCAAATGCAATTGTAGGATGTAGAACTAGAACAAACATTAATCTTTTTTGGTTATTTTCTATATTAACCTCTCTTGAATCTACGGTGAAAGAATAGGCCAAAATCCAAAAAATTTCTAAGAAATGTTCCGTCTGCGATATTCATTGTTCGTCGTTGCTAGAAGATGCATCCAGAAATGTCCAGTATGTGAATTTTTTTTTCGTTCTTTTTTGTTAAACTTAAGACGTTATTTTTTTTTTCGTTGCATTAAACTCGTTCTTTCGCTCGCGCACTTACTTGTTTTCCTCTCAGCAGAGCGAAGGTCCCCTAAAAGTAACGAAAGCCAAACATTTGATTCACGGGTCCAGTCAAGCTTATGAGGGCATTCAAAAGGGGGCAAAATCCAGCATATGGCAATCTTTTTTGAAGTATACTTGAAGACTTGGGATGTTATTTTCGTCAACAGACATGACGTCATCGCCAAACTAGAAGACGTTTTCTTGACAATTGTTGAGGACTTATCAAAGGATAAACCGCCTTCTTTAAAGTACAATTCCAGAACTTCTTGGAAAAATACAAGGTAAAGAAGTCTGTCCCAAGTATGTAATAAGAAAGAAGGAAATTTTGATTGAGATGATAAACTCATTGAAAAGAGGGAGACTCATCTTCATAACAAAATGAGTGTATCAATAATTGGATAGGGTTTTAAATCAGTTAGAGTGAACTTATCATATAGGCATTTTTTTATGGCCCACTTCTTTAAGACGTTTTCAAAGTTTACATTCTTATAAAACAATCCACAAGAGAAATAAGACTGAAAAGATATTCAACTGCCTTTAATGAGATATATTTTCTTGGTTTGTTTTACAACCATTCAGTCAAATTTTGTGCAAGGCTTCTGTATTTTGTTTATGACACTACCCTGTAATGACTAGGGTTCCTGCACTGATCAGCATCACCCTGAATGAGTTAAGTCGATCAAAGTAAATTTTGTTCTTGCTCAGAGTTTATTTCATGTCTATTTCTCTTGGTGACAGGTTCAACAGTGCAGTGGGAATAGAAATGATTGATGACATTAGCAAAACAGAACATAAGTTTGATTCCATTGCATCAGTGGGGAAGTTTGGTATGTACCAGTACAGTCAAACCTTAATTATATGGACACTGCGGAGGCCATAGAAAGTGTCCTTATTAACAAGGTGTACATATTTTAAAAGAAGGCTGAATTTAGAGAAAATGTAATAGCTGGGGACAAGGAAACCTGTTGGTAATAACCAGGTGTCTGTAAAGCAGGGTTCGACTGGGATGAAAATTTTAAAAAAATCAGAATAGCCCTTCCCAGCTAGCAAGCTGTTGCTGAATTTCATTGACCTACAACAGTCATGTAGACCCACTATCCCCCTTTTTCTCTGACATACATTTACTTTGGCAAATGTTGCCTTTTTGTCAGACAGCTTGTAATAAAAACATGTTAGCCCAGTTCATGGTGGCTTTAGTAGCCCCAAGCTGATAATACAGCATTTTTGTCATGACCTGAAAATATAAACTGTGTACTTTATAACAATACAGTGAAACTGTAATCTTATGCCTTATGCGATCACCTCTCTAATGAAAGAGCACTCAGGACTAAAATACAAACAATAGTGTTCCCAGTCAAAAAACTATATTTTGACCCTCCAGTGTGCACAATCACCAACCAACAGTTTGGGCAGTTTTGGAGGTTGCTTACAGTGGATTAAACAAAGGGTATATTCTCAGGGGGGTACTCTACAAAGTTTTATACGGGGAGGCTATGCTGCGAGGTCCAACCACTTAACCTTTTATATATACCACATTTTGACAGGAAAGGTGCTCCTTAAATGTATTTAACCTTTCATTGAAAAATGTATCTCTTTTACATACTTAGTTTAGAACTTTGCATCCTTCTTAACTGCTGTAAATTATGCACTTTCTTTTAGATATGAATAAATCAAATACTTCAAATACTGAAATCCCTACCCTTTCATATAAACCTGAAACCTGAAAAGGGCACTCCTTTTGGTCAGAGCCTCCAGGTATAGGCCATTAGGCATATGGAGTACCTCCCGGGGGGAGGGGGAGGGTTCATCTAGGGGTATATTATTTCCAGGCCCAGTGCAAATATGCCATTTAAACAGTGGATATAAGTCACAAACACCCTTTAGTGTGCAGCTACTAGTAATGCTTTGAGTTTGTAGTTTCTGCAAGTTTTTCTTTCTAAACGTGTATGTTTCTTCCTTTTAAAGCAACCACTTTACGAGTCATGGCATTTTGTTACAAACACCTGCAACAAGACACTTATGCAACAAAAAGGTTTGTAAACTCACACTGAGAACTGGGAAAACAGCTAACATCATTCTGAACTGAACAGTTGAATTGCTGCAAAGTTACCAAATTTTCATGGGGGTTATTTTTAAAATAATCTTTGTACTCTGATATTTAGTATCATGGAATTGTTGCATATTTTATAAATAAAGAAAATTCACCATTTGGTTATTTGAATCCGCACTGACAATCTACAGAGTACAATTAGAAAGTTGTGGCAACACCAACCTCCTCTCCCTCCCCCCTTTATCCCACTCCACTCTACCATGTAACAAAAAATTCTGTCAAATTGGAGGGGGTCTATAAAGTAAATGAGTTTTGAACACAGGGATTTCCAGAAAGCCAGTAGATCTGTCACCGGTTGATCGGTCACCTCGCCCGCAGTAAAGGAATCAGGGAAATTTATGCTTGTGGAATTCAGAATCTGGGAAATTTTTCCTTCTTGAATCTGGAATTGTGGGAATTGGAATCTGGAATAAAGCTGAAGGATTCCCGAATCCCACTAACAATTAGAATCTTGAATCAAAGTTCCACTGACAGAGAGTGGAATCCAGTACCCGGAATCCAGAATCCACAGGGTGAAATCCAGAATCCAAGACTGTCTTATATGGGGGAATGTCACTGGATGACCTGTTCTGTGATATGTTCTTTAGAGATATTTACTACTCAGATGTGGTATTCTTTGGCAGTCAGAGCGTAGTAGATGAGATCATAGACAATTTGGCATGTATGTTAAAAGTACCAAGGCACTGTCTTCATGTGGTAGGTGTCACTCATTGGTCTCTGTCCATGTCCCTGACTAAATTGGTTAAAGTATACAAAGTTCAAGATTTAACTTTAGTCTAGGAAGACCAAACAATTTTAGGGGGGTCAGTACAAGCAGTTATAGCTACGATTTCTTGGCCGATTTTATAAGGAAAGCATATAATGGCAAACAAAGAAACCGCAGTAATTTTAAAAATCTGCTGATATTTCACTTTGGTCTTTTTGGTCCGATAAATTGTTGCTTGTAAATTGGCTCTCGACAAAGCATAGCGTACAAACACTGAGGCCTTAACACTGTTAGTGACAAAAAGCATTCATTAAACGATCCATTAAGTCAATCAATTGTAAAACTCAAATCACACGATTCATTACCCGGGAAGATGGGTATAGGGAAGTTACGATGGGTTTGGTCTTGCTTCCAAGTCTCGTCACAGGTTAACAAGGCATTTTTTAGCCAAAAATTCTCTCAAAAATGAAAAATTTCACAAGATCTTTGCTCTTTACATTTCAGATTGCTGCTTCCAAAGGTAATTAACGTTTTCATGTGCTCAAAGTTATTTTTTCGTTTTTCGGCGGGCATATTTTGTAAGCTGTGGACGCGTGTGTGACAGTGTGGTTAACACCTCGAACTCCGGATCCGGAGGTCCGGGGTTCAAGCCTCGCCCGTCGCGTTGTTTCCTTAGACAAGGAACTTTACTCCACTTTGTCTCTCTTCACCCAGGTGTATAAATGGGTACCGGCAACATACTGCTGGGGGGCAACCCTGCGATGGACTAGCATCCCGTCCAGGGGGGAGTAAACCAAGCTCGTCTGCGCCTTTACCTTTACACTCTTTTTTTTCATAAGAATGTTGTTTTTCCGGCCCAGGCTGAATATTCTTATTTTTCTGCTGATTTTAGGCTGAAAATATTCTTGTATTATTCTTAAATAAAGCCTAGTGCTGTTTTTGTTTTCGCTCAGTTTTGTTATTTAAAAAGGAAAGAATTTGTCATAATACTTTTTTGCGGTTTAGTTTATGTCTTTTGTGCTGAATACTGTACATATGTATTACATGTACCGTTCATCGAACTGTCATTAGCGTTGAACATTTTGCTATAGCTAGTGCAGGTTTTTTCGTTTTGTTGGCTAGTTTCGCCGTTCAGAGAAAGGAATAATTTTATACGGTTAAGTTAAAAACATAAAATTGTATTGTATTTACAGATGTTTCAACACACAAAATTATATCTATCCTTTTCAAAATCTCAGCCTCGGCTTTATTCTTAAAATATTCTTAAAATTTCGCAAATTTCAGCCTCGATATTCTTATAAAATATATTCTTATAAAAAAAAAGAGTGTACCTAAGTCTGTAAGCTGGAACTGGTCGCAGAGGTTTTCTTCCTATTTCAAACGAAACTCACGAGCCAGAAACATATGACCCACGTATTAAAAGAGGTAACTAACAATTATGTAATGGGTATAAAAATTGCTTCAGAATAAACAGTCATACAGTTTTATCAAGGACCTATTGATTTTTTCCCTGTATGATTATAGCCCGCTGAGTTCCAAAGTGCTCTGCACTGTAAGCAGCACTTATTTAGCCCTTGTTATTTATTTATTTACTTATTTATTTATTTTGATATCAGGTTGTGTCGCTGGAGACTTGAGATACAAAGAACATGACGGAACCTACGTGGACTGTACGGACAAAACTTCGGTTTGTTAAATTGCTCCCTTTCACCGCTTGAAACTAATTGATGTGCAGGGGAGGAGGGGGTCATGGCCTGCATGGTGTTGCGCTAATTAATGCCGTTTTGTTTCGGTCACTGTTGCCGGGTGTTTATGTCTCGTATGGTTTGTTACACACTGAATTCTGACATGGTTTCAGTTTTTTTAACCTCTTCCTCCACAACAATAAACATAAGCATCTTCTTCGTTAGCGTGTTGGAATTCATAGCTACAGGTTCAGCCAGGCTCCACTCGGAGCTGAACATTTAGCAGGGTGTTTCCCAGGTAGTGTGCGTAACAATATTTGACCAATCAATCCTTAATTAATTAATAGCCCGTGGAAATTGTCTTGCGGCTGGACCTCCTATAGTAAAACAAGTTTCATTGCTATGCTGCTCCTCTATGGCACGCGCGGGGTAGTAAAGTATGAGCGAAAATAATTTCCACGTATGCGAAAAAAAGGAGCAGATACAGGTCTTCGTTGCTGAAGGGCGGAGAGTCGCCAGGGGCTATGAAAGACGAAAGTCTTAATAGACCACTTGGGGCACAAACGCATACACTCTTTTTTATATAAGAATATATTTTATAAGAATATCGAGGCTGAAATTTGCGAAATTTTAAGAATATTTTAAGAATAAAGCCGAGGCTGAGATTTTGAAAAGGATGGATATAATTTTGTGTGTTGAAACATCTGTAAATACAATACAATTTTATGTTTTTAACTTAACCGTATAAAATTATTCCTTTCTCTGAACGGCGAAACTAGCCAACAAAAAGAAAAAACCTGCACTAGCTAGTTAGCAAAATGTTCAACGCTAATGACAGTTCGATGAACGGTACATGTAATCCATATGTACAGTATTCAGCCCAAAAGACATAAACTAAACCGCAAAAAAGTATTATGACAAATTCTTTCCTTTTTAAATAACAAAACCTAGCGAAAACAAAAACAGCACTAGGCTTTATTTAAGAATAATACAAGAATATTTTCAGCCTAAAATCAGCAGAAAAATAAGAATATTCAGCCTGGGCCGGAAAAACAACACTCTTATGAAAAAAAAAAGAGTGTAGGAGGGCAGTCTGATGGCGGTATGGCATATAAATACTAAGCTGAATACCTAGCTGGAGTGGAAGTCTCTAGAGTGTAAAAGGGCTTATTTACGCCGCGCGAGAGTCAATTTCGGCGCAAATATTTTATATCGATGAAAATAGGAATACCATTACAGTCATTGACATATCCATTACAGCGCGTTATGGGACGTAACCGCGAAGTTGATCTTATACCCTTAAAATTTACGAAAATGTTGGAACCTACTTTATCCTCAGGGTACCATGGTGTCTTCTCATGTACAAGGGATATACGGTATCCTTACAGAAAAAAAAAGATCTATTTTTTGAGCTGAGCGTCAAGTTACATACATTTGTTTTGGGTGGATTTAGGGGTGGTCCAAGGGGACCGCACTTCCTCTTTTTTCGGTGAAATTTTGTTTTGTTTTGTGAGGAATTTTTATTAAAATTAAGTTTCAAGTTTCCCTCCCGGCCCCGCCTCCCCTTCCTGAATTTTCTGGATCCTGCCCCTGTTTGTATGAACCACTTTTGACGTTGACTTCAGTCAACGTTTTAGTGTCAACTGTCAAAATTTGTGTTACCAATCAACTGATTCTCAGTCTTCAGTAGTAATTTCACTTGGTGCTATTTGCCTTCACCATTTAACAATTGAAAATGAAATCAGGTGGAAGTTTTGTCGAATTTTTACTTTGGCTACTTCCGGGAATGGAAGAATGGATATTTCTGCAGTAATCAGCTCACAAGTCTGACCTTAACAGCACTTGACTAACTAGATATACATTCAGATGCCAAGTTTGTGCTAATCGTTGAAAAAGAGGCATCTTTTCAGCGTCTTCTGGATGGTAATGTTCTACAGAAGTTATATCCCTGTATTGTTATCACTGTAAGTAGACTTCAATCGTATGAAAGGTCACCGAATTCAGAATTTATAACTGAAGTCTGTGTGGATTTTTGTCACTTTTTTGTACTGTACTTTTATACTATCTACTATGCTTGACTTTACCCAGAAGCTCCCAGAATTAAAAGTAAATTCAGCTAGCTGAAATTAAATGTGATTTAAAGCTTGCGAAAATAGGCTTTAGTTTCCAGAATATAGTTCGTGAGGCCTGAGCAAAGGTTTCAAGGCCTCTGGTCTTCAAGGACACTAAGGTATAAAGCCAACCCAGTTAAGTCATTAACCTTATAATCTTAAATAAAGCCGGTTAAAAATAGAGATTGTCGAGAAAAGGACAGAACAGACCTCGCTTAATATCTTAAGTTTTAAAATCAGGAAATACCGTGATTGAAAAGCTCTTAAGATTACCATATGCTCCCTTAAGTTTCTCCATTTATTATCATCACAACAAGTTTCTGCTAAATCCATGATTAAAACATCAAAATTATTTTATGTTTTTCAATGAAGGCTAAGGGATTCCCGGATGTGAATACCCGTATGATGATCCGTCTGTTGTGGTGCACTCTTCAGATTCCCATCTTAGCCCTTGTGGATGCTGATCCTCACGGTGAGTTCATAGTTCAGGCAGGGCTCGAAAAACACGTGAATTCAAGCTTATCCTTTGGGCAAGCAGCTCTCTCATTTTTCTCGCCCAGGGCCACTTCTTGCCCTTCTTAGTTAGTGATAATGCTAGAGAATGACTTGCCAGGACCTTTACCGATTGGGCAAATAATTTTTCAAAGTTACTTGCCCTGCAAGAATATCTACCTATACCGGGGGACTACCGTATAGGACTTTTTTCCAGCCCTGAGAGCTGTTATTTTCAATATGTTTTTTTTTTCTTTTATTAACAGCATTGCTAGAAGTAACATGGCTTCGGAATTTCTATAGTGTTAGAGATTTTCTACTGCTCCCTTTTACGAGAACAGTGGTTATATCGTGTTATATCTTTATCATTTGCAGGAATTGAGATTCTAAGTGTGTATAAGTTTGGGTCTAAGGTATTGTTACATTTTACTGCGTTTCCTCATCATTAACTTAGCCTGATGCATTCTATCTTAATTAAATACTACGTAACCGATTGATGTAGATTTTCAATAGTGAATTATATTCTTGCAGGCTTTGTCATTTGACGCGCACAGTTTGACAGTTCCTGTTATTAAGTGGCTTGGAGTGTTGCCAAGTGATATCAACAGGTATTACAAGGTTTTTTTAAAAAGGGTCTCAAGTTACTTTTGTCATCGCTTTAGTTTTACAATGCTTCGCTTTGCTATTGGCCAAAAAACGCGGACCACTGTTTCAGCAAGTCTTTTTTTGGCCTTTGAAAACACACCTGCAGGGTCTCTGACCTATTGTTTGGTTACCTAGCAACCGGTTTTGATAACTTCGTGGTGGCCTCCGGGCGGCCGTGCATGGGCCAAGCGCTGAAAAACGCGCGCGTGTCCACGCGTCAGGGTTATTTTGGTTCTCTGATTCTGATTCTCTGTCTGAATGTTCAGAAGGCCCGGTTTTATGAACCGTTCTTGCAATGCAGTAACGCCGCAACCGAGTCATCTCAGTCTTATCAGTTAGATGGGGGGAAAGAAGGGTGGCTGTTCTTATTCCCTTTCCTCTGCGTCTATCCGAAGACGACTTGGAACGAATTAAAAGTCGCAGGCACGAAATGAAGTCGCAATCTTTATATTCTTTTAAAACTGGCGTGATAATAAATGGCTAATAGAGACCTTAAGCAACTACGATGACGACGTTAACGAGAACGTAATAAAAGCAATAGGTTAAGTAAGCAAACCAACAACTCTGCACGTGCATAACGCTTTTTGGTAGATGTCTTTGGTTTCTTTGACGTCCAAAGGACGATCACGAGCACGCTATATGGAGGACGTGAACACTAGTACTACCTTTTCCGTTTTAGAACTTGGATGCGGGCCTGTTTAAGAATTCACCTGCATTTCACAAAATGATCGCAACTAAATAAACGTGATAAGGTTTGAAAGAACGTTAACGCGAAGGCATTTATTCCCTGCCGTCGCCATCCTGGTTTCTAAAGCTGGCTATTGTCATGTCATATAACACGATAAACCAACCTGACTGCGAAAAATACCATACTGGAAATACTGATCAGAAATAGGCTGCACGCAGGTTTAAGATTGTATGCATATTTTCATTGAATTTTCATTCTTATTATATTTAAGTTCAGCCTTAAAAAATTTAAACGTTTTTTGTTTCAAGGCTGTCTATTCCCCACGACAAGCGCATACCGCTGACCGACCGAGACAAGAGTAAGGCGCGTGATCTTCTGGAGAGACCTTACATAAAATCACAAGAGGCCTGGGTACAAGAGGTATTTTGTGTAACATATTGCAGTATGATTGAGACATGTTCCGAAAGGTTAATATTGTTAGTATCGGTAGCAATGCAAAGTATAAACTCCCGTGCCAGTGGAAACTGTCCGCTGTATACTAGTGACTGACGGCAATAATCAAATGGTAGAATCTAGGCATCTTCCAATTATTTCAGCGCCAGCTAGTTATTATTGGATTATAGGCGATTAGAAACGGAGGAATATTCAGCTGGAATGAAAATAATTGATTTTATGGCTGGCTGATTTAATGGGAAAATGTTCTGTCTGGAAACCGGTCGTTTCGAGTCGTTTCGATAGGAACTCAAGCAGTGAAACTGCACAAAAATTTCATTCACTTCAAGTATAGTTTGCGCGTAAACAAGAAAAACATTTTGAGTGAATATTCTTCGTTCTTTAAGCCAACGGACGTGAAACTAGTACACCTGGACCGGTAACAACCTTCTGTCTCCTGTAATCTTCGCCCAAGTTCAGTTGAATCGAAGGTCTTTTTACCACAGTTTTTAAAGATCTTCCATTTCATCGCCAGCACTTTCTTTCTCATTGAAGCTCCTGGCCTTATGGTGGTACCAAAGTTATAAACTTTTGTGAGTTTTGAAAGTTAGCACAGACCAGTTAGATATATCCCATCGGTATTGTGTTGGCTGAGCAAGACTTGCAGACCATGACTGTTTTTAAGCAATGACAACTGTAACGGCGTTTATTGGTGCATCGTATTAGTGCGTAGACAGTCCATCACAATAGTTACTTGATCGCAGCTGCTGCAGCTAGATAAGACTGAAATTCCAAACTCCGCATTGTGTATATTTGTATGTTTAATAAACGTTGTCTTTCTTTGTCGTTCTGTTTTTCTCTCGGCTTTGAGTTCTCTCAGTTTGGTTTCAAAGAAAGGTTCATCACACCGCAACGATCAACCAACACCCAAATCCACGACTAGCGTGAAACCGTCAATTACATAAACCATGCAGGTGAAGGATACCGTAAACTGCCGCTTGTAATCTCCCCTACTTATAACCCCCTCCCCACCCACCCACTCAGGTATAGGCCCATCTACCTGTAAACAAAAAATTCTATCCGATTATAAGCGGCCTTGGATATAAGCCCCCCTCGTACTTTTATTGAAATGAATTCGATTTGTTATGACGTTTTGAAGCTTAATAAAAAAAACTAGCAAACGCAAAACATATTTTGATCAGCAATGCTATAACTTGTTTCAAAGCGCTTTTTCTATTGCCGGTTCTAAGCCCTCCTCCTAAAACCCCTTACGAAGATGTATAAGACCAGTGCTTATGATCTCGCCGAGATCCAAAAATCTCGGCGGCCAAAATCCTGCCGAGAATCTCGCCGAGATCTCGGCGAGATCTCGGTGAAAATTTTGTACGCAGTTTACGGTATGTTGCAGATCCAAAAAAATATTATATCATATTTTTCTTCTTTTTGGTTTCAGATCAAGGCCATGTTATCCTTGGGATATAAGGCAGAAATTCAGGCTCTTTCTTCCGTTTCTTTTGAGTTTCTAACGGATACTTACCTTCCCGTCAAGATTAAACATGGCAGATGGATCTGACGCTTTATAGAACCACTTGTTGTTGACAAAATAAACATAAAAGAAAAGGAGGAAAAACAACCTTTCTGGCATTAATTGTTGAATAGTACCTTAGCATTTTCTGCAGAGACCTAAAGAGAATTGCAACCCGCAGAATCAGCTAGAGTAGAGGGCCCATACTCCAAGTCTTTACCAGGCTCTCAGAGTGTGGGGAGGTCAGGGAGGTCACAAGTTCGTTGCCAGGGTTCTCCCCTACCCTCCCCTGTCGAGCGAGAGAGGGGCGGGTAAGAGAGAACCTTGGGAACGACGATGGAGAAAAGCGAAAACAAAACTCGCTTGACCACCGCCTTCGTATCAGTTTCCATGACTTCTACACATTACTATCTTGGAGCCTGAAACAGGATACCATACCCACGGAGCCTCCGTCTCTCATATAAGCCCTGGCCTGATGGGTCACAGCGTAAACACAGCCTAGCTATTTACAGATTCAAAGCCAGTGTCAGTCATTCAGAGAAGAGTAAGATTTCTTGCAAAGGAATAGCGATCGCGAGTGGGTAAGTGTCAATCAGAATGCAGTTTAACCAATTCATCGGAGAGGTTTATGTTCACCTTCAAGTCGATAGAATCATCTAAATGACCACATTTATCGTTCCCCTCAGCAGAAGCTAAATCAGATTAGAGGATGCATCAGTCCTACATGCCTTCTTTCAAGAATAATTCTACCCTGATGTGCATTTCTCTCTCACAACTCCCGAGGAGTTTTCGGTCCCAGAAAGTGTTTTTCTCTTGGATAGTAGGCCTCTTGGATGTTGCTCTTTTCAGAATATCCTGACAAATCCCATAATTTCACAAATTAACACCTTACTCTTACCATATTTCGAGCGCTTTCCATTCAACAAAAATTCTGGTTTCAGGCTTCTTCTTTCCAATTGCTTAAATTGGAAAATTTACTGCGATGATCATTCTTCACTTTCATCTACAACCGCGGTTCAAAAATGAATTATTTCATATACTTCACATTAACAAGGATCAATTGATTAAACACACGACTAATAATTGCTAGCAATAAAATCAGACACGTTTCTTAAGTCACAGGAAATCAACTTTATGACCCTTTATTAAAATAATTGCAAAAAGATTAGGTTAACGATTCTATTAAAATAGTCAAAGAAAGCTAGCCATCTTCTTTTACTACAATTCCCTCCTCAATTATTTTTTATTCCCTCCTCCACAATTTTAATATTTTCCCTCAATTTTTTTCATTTTCTTTCCTACTCCTCAATTTTATATACATTTTTCATCCATGACCACATCGACCCTGCATCGACCCTACATCAACCCCATATCGACCCTACATCGACCCTACATCGACCCCACATCGACCCTCCCTGAGTTTTAGCGCTAAATAAGATATAGTCAGCCGTTTCTCGCGCTGCCAGATGATCGCTTCTCTTATTCCTATTTTCCTTTTAATAGACGTTCCGATAAACCGGGCTCAAGTTACTTAACGGGCAAGTCTAGGCAAGCCTATTGTGCCAAAAGAAAAGAAACGACTATCCACTTAATTATATATGGAGGAAAACACTTATTACGTATGAGGAATCCACTTTTTGCGAGGGAATCCTGCATATGTAATGAAGGGAATCCACTTTTTGCGAGGGAATCCACCAACGAGGCAAAATTTTGCTGAAGCATAACTACTAGCTTAATTGATAAATTGCTTTAGTTAAATATCGTCGACAGGTTACAGACAAATAATACGCTGATTCTCACGGACTTTTATACAATTGTAGCTTGATTACACACACTTTTTTCACCTACGTGTCGTGTTGCGTCAGTTATTTGACACTGTTAATGGCAAATATCAAAAATCGAAAAAAATTGCAACTGATTCAAACTATTTGAGATGTCATGCTTTACTCACAGCACTTCACTTTCCATTGGAAACTACTTGGTCTTGTAAGCAGGATACAAAAGTGCGGTACTGGGGACAACAATTTTGGCAAATGGAAAGGGACATTTCGGTCCGACCGACCGAAATGACCAGACCGGTCACAGTGAACCACCTTCAAAGCTGGGGCGCTTTCCATTCAACCCAAAATTCCGGTAATTTCGGTCGGTACATCAAATGTAACGGACCATTTCGGTTTGGTCCGACCGGAATATTCCGGACCAGCTTTGAAGGTGGTCCACCGTGACCGGTCTGGTCATTTCGGTCGGTCGGACTGAAATGTCCCTTTCCATTTGCCAAAATTGTTGTCCCCGGTACCGCTCTTTTCTATCCTGCTTACAAGGCCAAGTAGTTTCCAATGGAAAGTGAAGTGCTGCCAAAGCCTGGCTGAATACAAATTGGCTAAAACACCGAATTTATTTACCGTACAGTTCCAGGAACTGCTTCGAATCGTTCGAATATTCTGAGAAACGTATCGCTTCAATTCACAAGAATTTTTTACCTTCACTTGCATTCATAGGCTTTCTACTCGAAATAGGATTCCTCCGCCTTTAGTTTTCCACCGCCCCTTTTCGACAGTCGAGTGTTCTTTAGGATATAACCAGTATTTACTTTTCTCTTTTAGAGCGTAATTATGAGTGTGCTGCGAAGCCATAATGACAAAACGCGTGGTGGCTTGGGTCGGATCTGTGCAACCGGAACGTACCGTTCCACTGAGCGCGTGAAGTTTCCGAAATTTCAAACCGAAATTTTTGTTGAATGGAAAGCGCCCCTGGTCCCGAATGACCAGTCGGACCAAACCGAAATGGTCCGTTCATTTGATGAACCAACCGAAATTTCCGGACTTTTGGGTTGAATTGAAACCGCCCTTCATTTCTTACTATTCCTCTGCATTTACAGATCCACAACCACAACGCCGAAGTGTACGCTCCGTAGCGTCTTGTTCAATCTAACCTCACCCCACCCATGCTATCAAAAAGCTATTTTTGGTTTGCATGTTATTACTTGCTCACGTTACGAGCGGCCTGGATCGAATGCTGAGAAGCGTTGCATGGGAATAATTCTTGAGAAGCACGTTTTAATATCGCGTACTTGTTGAAAACATTTTCTCCACGCTTTCATTTCTTTCTCACACTCGGAGTAAGGTTTGTGCATGGGGCAGAGGACTAAAGACGCAGATAGAATGGCACAGAACAACACAAGCGTCTCTGATTTACACCCGTCGATATTATGCTGAGTAAATATCACTGATTCCAGGTAAGACAACTTGTTTCTTTGCCGCTTGAAATGATATTGCAAAGCTAAAATTTACTGGAAATAGTATTTTTCTCTTGAATTGTGTTAAATATAAACGGCGAGATTAGCGATGGGGAAAAATAAGACACGCAAGTTAATGTAATGACGGAAATGGATAAATAGAGAAAAATCGCATTCTAGTTTTTTTACAGGTAATCACATGATTTCGAGTGCAATTTGGAATAAATACACACGAGTAAATTTTTTCAAAGGCTAACAAAATTGCACGAGCCCGTAGGGCGAGTGCAATTTGTGGTCTTTGAAAAAATTTACGAGTGCTTATTTATTCCAAATTGCACGAGAAAAATTATGTGATTACTTGTTAATAATATTCATGAAAAAACTGCGAGATAGCTTTAAAATCTCTTTAATAGGGAGTCAACCCGCGTAAACTACGTGCAAAAATAAATTATTCAAACGCTGCAAATATCATCACACGTGCAGTCAAAACAACATTTTGCTCGATGTTTTTAAAGTTTGCAAGCTGCAGAAATGGGCTGAACAGTTCCTGGAATTGTTCAATGTGTTTGAAATAAAGATTTTGGGTTATTACCTCGAGTTTTCCGCTCTTCCAGAGAATTTCTTCTTCCTCCTCTGATATTTGCCGAGCTTTGTTTGGGCGCTTACCACGGCCAGCCAAGCGAAGCTGTTTCGCTTTTTCCTCCAACACCTCTTTGGACGAACTAAATTCTCGGTCACGTACAATGGACAGGGTGCAGCCTTTGTACTTAAAGTGTCTATCAAGCAATGCCTTCATATATTACTTTAAGGCTTTCTGGTTCATAAATCTTCACCTTTTTTGTATTGTTTACTTCGGCGTAGAAATGTTCAGGCAAAGTGTTATAAGCTCAGCCGGCTCATAATTTTCTATTTCATCAGTAATTTCCTTACCTACGCACCAATTCTTCCAAAAAGAGAGCCAAAAACCAGTGCTTTTCGCAGTGTTTTCGTTTTTAGAGCAGTTTTTCAGCTCCTCTACAGTTGTTTCGGTCGCAAAAGCAAATGTGCTGCAATCGCCAACCACTGCGGTTTTTGCTCGAAACTGGCCATGGTCCGGAGCGGATCAAAATTTTGGGCCATTTAGTTGGCGCATTTGATTGGCTCTCAGTGAGTTCCTTTGTTTATTAGCCAATCAGAATGTCACGTTTGTTACTCTTTTCTGCACTCCATTATCTTTTTTCTGCACTCAATTACCTTTTTTCTGCACTGTGTTACCTAAAAACTGCATTCCTCGTAGCCAATCACAATCGAGAAATTTTTTCATGTATATTATTATTGAAGTTATCACGATTTTTTATGTACATGTGGAGCTGCACTAAAAGCGAATTTAGAATCAGAAGCACGTAATCATCGTTTCAACTAACACTCCATAATAGCACCATCAGAAATGTAATAAACACAGTTTACGCCCTCTAGCTCGCTGAAACATTTGTGGGATTTTCTTTAGGGAGTAGTTTAGAGATATATGACGTTCGAAAACCATTAATGATATAAACTGTCAGTCAGGCAACACTTCGGTGTTCAACTCATTTCGTCGCTCCGGCCTTTCGATGGCTGCCTTCCGATCGCTTTATAGCGCATTGTAACTTTTTGTAAACTTGTCAGTTAAATATTAACCCTTGCTAAAAAGACAAAATGTCTCGGCCCGACGTATAAAACTAGAAATACGTAGATCGCAGGACCTCGCGAATGACTTAACGCTTGCTAAAAAGACAAAATGTCTTGGCCCGACGTATAAATGAGCTGCGCAGTCTTCTGCAACTTATTGATGCAAAGGAATTAAAAAATATAGAATAGTACTTCACCGATCGAGGATTACGACAAGAAATCGATGTGTCTTAATTTACTCTCAAAGGACTGATATTTGAACCATCTCGATGCGGTCATCAGATTTTTATTTTTACTTTTACCGTAAATCCTCTATTAAGCCCCCCGGGGGGCTTATTTTTTTCAAGCACTTTTGAGGGGGGGCTTATTTAATTTAGCGAAACGCATCACCTGTAGCAAAAATACCGTGGTATGAGGCAGAGTAGACTTACGCATAGTACAATTAAAGTCACTGTCAAAAGTATTTAATTCACTTGTGGGAGCCTAAAAGTAACAAAAACAAAATTCTTATTCTTCAAAAATGTGCTTTCGGCCTCATGTTCTTTGGTAATTTTTATGAATAAACCATAACTGATCAGTCCACGTTAATCATTAATTCTTTTTTTTTGAAGAATAAGGATTGGGAAAGGGGGAGGGGAGAGGGCTTAAAAGAGAGGGGGGCTTATTAACGTTCCTCCTCTGAAAAGGGGGGGGGGGGCTTATTTGAGGGGGGGCTTAATAGAGGATTTACGGTATTTATTTTTATTTTCAGTCAGCAGTATTTATTCCCAGGCAAAATAAATGCTTAATCTTTATTTTTACAGCAATTTTGTGAAAACATTCCATGTTTACGAAAAGAGATGATGCTTGGTAACCTCATTGCAAAAACAAAAGAATTTGTGTTTTATCTGTAACAAAGGTATTCAGCCAAGTGTCTACGATTTATTCATTCCATTACTGTATTTGACTTCAAGGCAGTTTAAAAATAATCTTTTCCTTTTCTTTTGCCTCTTTTCCCTACAAAGCATATAAAATAATACATCATCCCATTACGTCACGAAAAATTTGTTATTTGTTGGTTCTAAGAGTAGCAGCAAATTATTGTTTTCACGGTTCCAGCGTATTGACAGCTGTCATGGAGACTCAAGTATAAAAGAGTGGGATTTTACTGAGGTTATCATTCTAAGCTGATATCGCTGCCTGAGTTCTGAGTTTCGTTTGTAAATGCTTTTTTCTTGTTGTGTCTTTTTGTGATTTCATTGTTTTCACTGTTCACCGTTTCAACAATAGGGAATAGGCAAAACAGGAAGCATTATATAAACCAACCAAGCACTAAGTGAAAATAACATTTAGAGCATCAGTTAACATCCTCTCAAACTCCACCATGTTTTTTATCTTCACTCACTTTGTTTTGGCCTTTACATGGAGGTGGGGGACCCCAGTTAGGTGAGGTGAAACCTCCCACGCAGTGACGTTCTTCGGGCTTCGTCACTCGTTTTTTCTCCATGAAGGAAGGAGTGCGTGACAAAGCCCTAAGAACGTGGGAGGCTACAATAGCTCAGGTGGGTCAGCACTCATTAACATCCGTCAAAAGGACCTCTCATCTTCGGTCGGATTTCGTAAGCATATGATGTCACGCTCGCCTCGAAGTTTAATATGCGATCCCATCCATCTGCACTTCGATCATCTATATCCGACTTGTTTGATTTTTGGTGAGAGGTTTTGTCCCATTTTTTCGATCATTCCTCGATTGATTCCAAGGATGTTTTGATGTTTCAAGCCTCCTCTTACTCGGCGGGGAAAAGGACTTTTCAGTGGATGTTTATACTGAATAACATCCGTTGAATGGCCCCAGATCACCAGGCTGTGTATCTAGGTGACAATTATAAATTATCACTTTCCGTATTGAATTAATACATGTACAGTGTAAAAATCACCATACTTATATTTTACACTTGAGGAGAAGGATCAATATCATTATTACGTCATGTTATTTATTTATTATGTCATTTTACCATATAAGTTATAATAATAATATTATTTAATAATATTTCTGTTCAATTTCATTAAAATGACTGGTCACTGGATAGCCCAGGGACTGCCCTAACAGTGGGTGGGTGGAACAGGCGTGGAGGCCAAAATTAGTGGGGTAGGGAGTGGGCTATTTTGACACAACCCCTTCAGTATGCAGCAGTGTTCACTAGAGGCTTTGACTGGCAAGTACCTTGTTCTTAATTTGCCCTAGCCTCTGAGCTGAATCAGGCCTCTGCTGCGAATGATGATGTTTTTTTATTTTGCACGCATTGTCCCACCTCGAATATCCTTGCTAGCTGCAGGCAATACCACTTGTGTAAGTTTATTTGTTTATTAATAAAGTTTTGTTGTTGTTGTTGTTGTTGTTGTTGATAATTGCAGAGCTCTGTGGGAGGCACAGACAGTCACCCATTGTCCTGGGTGGGGAGGATCAAAGTCTTGGTACGAAGGACACAATTAGAATAGGACCTGTAGACACTCACTGAAGCCATGTTTACATAATTTCTGTCAGATTTATTTATTTATTTAGGCTTATTTATTTTATGCTTTGTAATTAAGGTTGCAAATGAAAATGTGCTTAAACTGTGCATTTTGGTTCAAAGCCATTGATACTATGAAGTCTTCATCTACATGATATCTTCAAGTTATTCCTTGGGAAAGGTTGCCTATCGGGTCAATGGGTTTGTTCAAGATTTTTTTATTATACGTTTCTTTAACAGTACATCAAAATGAATGAATGGTGGAATCAACATTTTTAATTCAACTTAAGTAACCCCTCAGAGTTTTGACTTGGCTTCTTGTTGTTTCGTCAAAAATGTCCTGTAAAAACTGTAAGGGGAGGGTCCAAAGAATTTGGAAATAGTATCTTACCATCTGCATTAGCCCTTCCCTCTCTGTAAATAATCCCCACTCCCTGATTTCTTTGAGGTCTTGCTTGAATATTAGTTTATAAGTGCACCTTAAAGCCTCTTCTGCTGTAATTGTTCCTTCAACTTCTTTTGCAGCAAAGGCATGTCATTCTAGAAAAAAAGAAAATGCTCTGTCATTCAATCAAGTACAGCAGATGCTATTTAATTTTATGAAGCTAAAACAAACATAGAAAAGTAATTATTCAACAATAAGATTGTTTTTCCTTGTTTGATCATCATTAAACTTCCCTTCAGTTTTCTTGTGCATTAATTATTGACTGTGTGATTTGACTGGTGGATTGATTTTTGGTGCACTCTCGATCCTCCTTTTTCCCTCTATATGTTAATTTGTTTTCTTATTCAGTGTTAAAGTGTTGACCAAATTACTCCAGAATTATGCTGCTTGTGAAAGGCATCTGTTCAACCGAAGTGCCCCATAGAGAGAGGAGTATTTACTAGCTTTGGTCTAGAATTTTAGGTCTGATTTGACAGATCTATTTGGATGTTTGTTACCAAGAAAAGATGTCTTTACTTACAATAGTTTGGATTAATGCAGATTTTTAACATAGAAATTAATTGCTGTGAACCCAGATTATGTCTGTTAGTGAGAGGTGCATGTAAGCTTATAGGAGGTGTTGGTTAACAGGGGTTCTTGTACGGTACCTGATGAAAATTGGGATTTTTTCCCCTGCTCAAGTTCTGTGCAAGCTAAATGTCATACATGTTAATGCTACCATTTACAACAGTAGTTTAAGAACATGAGTGATGTTCAGAATACTGAAAGTTTAAAAATATTACTTTGTCGAACAATGTAAATTATAATAATTATTTAATCATGACTATTACATTATTATTGTATCAATTTATTACAATATTATAGTCACTGCTATTACAAATTTTGGCAATACTATGCAAAATATGCTTACCATGCAGTCATAGCTGTTTGCTTGAAAGGGAATTGCCTTTAATGTAAATAGTAGGAGGGGGGGGCTTGCCCCCACCCCCCTTTCCTACCACCACTGCAGCCATGTTTCTCGACCCAAAATTGGTCAAGTGAAAATGTTAAGATTTTATTGAACACCAGTTGTAGCATCCAGGGTGCACGTTTTCTACCCTCCGATGACTCAAGAAGCACCATGAAGCAGGATTGTGTTAGCCTTTGTTTGAACAACTGCCTACTTATGCAAACCCGCCCAACTGTTGATTACGGACACTGTTAAGATCTCAAAGAGGTTTGCTTGTGCCAACAAACTAAGCAATTAATGACATTTTGGGAAATTGGAGTAGGGCTATGGTCAACAGCCCACTTTGGTTATAACAGTGGCGGATCTAGGGAAGAAGCCTAGCGGGCCGAGCCCCCCTCTTATTTTTAGACCAAACTGAGGCCCAAAGGGCGGAAAAAATATTTTTGGAGACTGCCCCCCTCCCCCTTATCTCAGGGTCTGGATGACCAGGCACCACCCCCCCCCTCCTTATCTGACAGTCTGGATCCGCCATTGTATAATAATATAGCTACTACTCACCTGTGCCTCCAAATCCTTTGCTTGCCTTGTAGTCCTCGTAGTAGGAATATTTTACGGTATTTCGAGTCTCAAAATCTTTGATTAGCTTTGTGCTTCTTCAGTGGATGAAACAGAATATAAATTATCAGACAACTTAGTGTGAGCTTTGGCTTCCCGTTGTTTAATACTGGTATACTTAGCTTTCTTTTGCTGTCTTTTTTTTTCTACTAGTTTTTTTTTTTTTTTTTTTTTTTTGTGAATGTTTTGTGTAGCTGTGTGTGGTGTGTGGTACCTGACCCTTTAATATAATCATTTATTAATAACCTAAGTAAGGCTGCCCTATCTTTTTAGCCCTCAATGGTTATTATCGGCAGCCTGTACTCTCTCTATATTTTCATCTAATTTTTTTGTATCATGTAAATCAATGCAGGGTACAGCTGGGTACAAATAAAGTTGTTTTGTTGCAAGCATTCATTATTATTTAACAGAGACAGACATTACACACATGGATCATTCTCTATTTTTTATATTCCTTCCAATATTTGAAAAAGTTGTTAAATGGGGCAGCGGTTCATTTGAGTTTAATTTGCTTGTTCGTGTAATTCTGCATGAATGCCATTCGATCCGGGGCCATTAAGGGATGTTACTCAGTAACATCTGCTGAAAGGACACCTTCTTGATGTGCTGAGAGGCTTGATCGAGGCGAAACATTAAAACATCTTTTCCAAACAGCGGCATCTTCTTGTTTGAATCAATCGAGGGATGATCGAAAAAGCAAGACAAGACATCGAAACAAACATCAGATCATCAGACAAATCAGAGTGGAAGATCGAAGCGAAGCTTACATGAGTCACAGGGGGAACCACGAGGCGAGCGTGACGTCATACGTTTACGAAATCCGACCGAAGATGAGAGGGCCTTTCGACGGATGTTAACGAGTGCTGACCGCTCAGGTGGGGTTAGCCTGTTCCAGGCTCAGAGATAGTTGGGCTTGCATGCCTTTTACTTTCGCGTCTTCCCTACTATCTGAGAGCCTGGAACAAGCTAAGGTGGGGTAAACCGCGCTTACCGGAAATTTTACAAGCCCGCCATCCCGGGCTGTACTTTCTCAAGATTATTACATGGTCGCAATGCATGTTATTAAACAAAACAGAAAGGCGAACAAATGACTTGTTTTGGTGGTTAATGCTCTCTACCCTCAGTTGCTGCAACCGTTCAGTCACTTAAAATAATGCAAAGCTTCCGCTGAAGGCAGTTAATTGTTCAGTCAACGAATTTGATGTAAACATGAATCCAACCCCGGTTAGGCGATTACCCCACCTTGAAAGGTTTAATATAAGACATTACTTCGTCTTTCTTTTACAAGAACGTCTTATATGATGATGCTTTGTATTTTGTGCGAGAATATATCTTCGTTTCATGCCATTACAAATAATCCTTCCATCCCAATAAATATGTGAGATAATACCCTTTAACACTACACTTCAAATGACCGATTAATTAGTCCAAGGCAGATAAGAGGAGAGAAGGCAATGGGTTTGTTTAAGGTAGTGTTTTGAGTTATCCACTGATGATGAGTTATCCAGAATGTTTTAGTGTACTTTCAATACCAGAACTAGTGGGCAAGGGTTTCAGTAAATTCCCCGCAGTAAGAACAGAATTCTGCTTGTTTAAGGCCGGTTTTAAAGAGGAAGTAGTTTGTTGCTATTTGTCTGTGAAGGAACATGAATTGGAACACTCGTAACGTTTTTTTCTGTTGTACTCAGAAAAGGGAGGCGGCATGTATTCTCCCAGTTCACATTCACATTTCCTATTATATTTTCCTTAAACAGCCATTTTCCCTGGCTTTTAAGAGGGGTGGTGGCCTTTTTTCGATAATTGATTTGTAAACGGTTTTACAGGCTTTTTCTATAAATCTTGCCAAGATTTATAAAAAAATGTTTTAAAGACATTTTCCATACGGACGGAAATTTTATATTAAGTTATACTACAATTATTGGCTTATAGTGGCTGATAAATTGAAACTTGAATTAACGTTACATTTTGTTGAGTGTACTCAACTGTTCTCAGTTTAGTCCCCAGGGCCGGGTTGTTCAAAGGTAGGTTAAGATAATCCAGGGTTAGTGCGAAATTTGAATTCAGATATGAAAGCTTAAAGGGCAAATTCAGTTTAATTCTTTTTGTCTACAATTTGATGATTGGCTACTCTAGAAAGGTTAGAGAAAATTGTCCAAGAAAATGCTTTTGATGATGAGAAAAAGAGATCCGGGTTAAAATTTACCCCTGGTTTAGTGCTAATCGGCCTTCGAACAACAGGGCCCAGAACGCTGGAAATGGCATTTTAGGGCTTTTCAATTTCAAACTTTTCTGGGAGACCCCCATAAAACTGAGAAGGAGACTAACGCCGGGTCTCTTAATACAGTCAGTGACTCTATTCAAACCTGCCAGCTACTTCAATAGTTATTGAAACCCCTGGGCCCGTTTTTTTCAAACTTGAAAAATGCACAACAATAAAGAAACATTAAGAAAAGATGTCTTGGTGCAATGGGGGTATAAACATCTTGAGCAATTGATTTCAGAGCTAACTGTGAGCGACTCGTGTGGTTAAATCTAAGCCAGTGTATTTCAAGACAAAAATTTACATGCCAAAAAAATTGCAGCATGGAAAATGAGTGTTGGATTTTAGAAAGTAAGAAAGTGCGCACCTTGTTTCCTAAAATTATTAGGGTAACTTCTGATTAACTCCATCATATGAAGGCCACTAATTTTGATATCCCATATCATGTTGACCCATAGGGTTGATAAAGGAACTAAAATCCTCTTGATGCGAGTGACTCTCACAACCAAATACGTCTTAAAATTAAACACTATTATATTTTAACCTTTATTATGAGGAGACTTACTCTCCTCACAGTATTATTCTTCTGTTAACTTCTAAGCTTTCTTCTTCAACTTAACCCTCATTGATCTTCAACAGTTCTGTATATATTTCTCTCTTTCTCTTCTCTTTCTCTCTCTATAACTGCATACTGAACCTATTCCTTAGCAGCTCGTTATATATTTCCTTGGTCATTGCTAATAGGTTTACATAAATAATAATGCGTAGGATGTATCTGCCAACAAAAACGAGTCATAAAACTTATGCTTCCTTAGTTAATTACTAAAACGGTCGAGATGTCCATTAATTTAAAAGATAAGTATCTTCCGAGCGACGTCAAGTTTGGAGACAAGATGTCCCACTCTCAAAAAGCACACTGTTAATATTTATGTTTCTGCGTGAAAAGCTTATTAGTAAATTGGTTATTAAATCTTTAAAATCGGGGACGGAGATTAGTCCTGTGACAGGGTCCTTTGACTTGTTACCATTAGCTTCTTTGACTTACACGAATTCTTTTCCTTTCATATGCAAAAAAGATCTAGTTCAGGACTCGGAGAAAGCTGGACGATGAGACTGACGACAAAAAGATATATTATCTGGCTTTGTGTCATCCTGCTAGGAACTTACATCATTTGTTTGCAGATGTGTCAATACTGCAAGAGAAATAGAAAGGTGGGTCAGGAGAGCTCTTTGGTCCCCCAGTGGTTTCTCTAAAGGAAGTATTAACTGGCAGTTTTGTAAAACTTGGCGACAAAACGGAATGATGCCTGCTCTTCTTTAAGAGTCTTTAAAGCTGTAAATATTTTTTCGCGTCAAAGGACATATGTCTAGCCATGGCCAAGTCATTATTGGTCGGACAAAACAAAAATGCGGTCTGACTTAATTGGGCTCACGTACAGTATGCCTCTTAATCAACAGACCATTTTCGAGTTCCTAAGTGCAAACGCTTTCTTGTGAAAATGAGTTTTATTTGCATGAAACTAATGAATCACTTTTATATTAATAGCTTCGCACATCCCCTCGATTTGAAACAGAGGTTTGTAGAAATTCGGAATTGTATATTTTTGCATAGCTGATGCGGGATTTGATTGGCAAGCGTTGAGGCCGGTGCTCTTGTTGGTTTTTTTGTATAAAAGTATTTGGTCTACTTTAGAAAGTGACCAAATGATTTGGAAAAAACCTCCTAGATTTTTTAAAGGGAACCTCCACTTCAACAAAAAGATAACTTTAAATCGCAGGAAATAACTGTTACAGTCAAGTCAATCTAAAATATTTTTAAAGAAAGCGTTTGTATCCGAAAGAAATAACTTTTAGATTCGCCTATTTTTGTTTTCAAATTTTGCGGGCGTCGCCATCTTGAATAATTGTGACGTGTAATGGTTGCCCTATTGTTATTAAACAAAAACTCTTTGTGTCAGAACAATAGAGCAACCGTAACACGTCACAATTATTCAAGATGGCGGCGCCCGCGAAATTTGAAAGTGAAAATAAGCGATTTTAAAATTCTCTTTTCCTGATATAAACACTTTTTTTAAGACAAATTTCGAACAAATTTGTTTATCAACATAATTTATTCGATTTAAACTTATTCTGTACTAAGAGTGGAGGTTCCCTTTAAAACAAAATGATATTCTTCAGATGAATCGTCGTTTTATATGACCATCGTTGAAAAGCTACAAGGCGATAAAAAGGGTTATAATGCGTAGTCTGAAATGTCAGTAGTCTCCTTTCTCTAACCCGTGGGAATGCAGGGGAGAGAGACTCAGGGCATCTAAATTTCACATTTCCCCGGGGGATCAAGCGCTCGAACCCCCTTAGTATGCTCACGCTTAACACAGGTTTGGACTAACACCCTCCCCTACCCTCTCAGTCTTGCTCCGCGGTCCCTGTAAGAAAGTGTATGTCAATAAAGAAAAGTAAAGAATGCATCAAAGGATGAGCGCATCCCAAGGGTGAGGGGGGAGGAGATGGCTTATATTTCAGACTATATAATGCGCAATTTTTTGTCGGAAATTTCGTGTCTTAAGTGAACTGCACCTTCTCAAGAGGCACCTCAATGCATGCCAATTAAGTCCCTATTTCTCGCAATAGGTTAAAGCAATCCACATGATCTTCTCATAAGCGTTTCTTTTTTTTAAAGGAATGAAACTACTAAGAAGTGAAATTGCATTTCAAAAGCCCTTCGTTTTTTATGAAATAACAGCCGATCAATCAAGATTTTCCAATTTTTACTGCGGAATTTATTAATGTTTTAAAACTTCATCCCAAAATAACTCGATAACGCTCTCGTAGATTTTCCTCAAAGTTCACTCTGCAGCTTGCCATTCTCATGGTACAAAACAGTCCACAAAAGAGGCACTGGGACAAGACAAATAAAGGAAGGTACCATTTAAAATTACGTATGCCTTTTGTTGGTCTTGCCCCAGTGCGACTTTTGCGTCCCAGCATGCCGGTTTTGTACCACGTGAATGGCAAGCTGCAAAGGGCCTTTTAGAGGAAGAAGCTCCCTTGAACTAGTGCCGAGAAATACGGCCGCGAGGTAAAAATGGTAATAAAGTCATTACGTGGCATAATACTGGTCACAGCAAATCTTCATTTTTATCTAATACTCCAGTGGTGGTCATTTTCCGTATCTTTGTTAATGGCAACGTATTCAGTGCAAAAACATGAGAGGTATTGACCCTGAAAAATCCAATCGAGCCACCTTAAGGTCCCTTATGTTTCACTACTGACTACTTCTGTGCTTGTAGGAACCCAAAACATGGTCAGAGTGTCAGGTGACCGTTGCCAAAGGTTCCTCCTGCTTTTCATCGTTTTTAGAGGACTGGATTTGCGTCAGTGAGAAGCCCCGAGATGAGGACGTATTTTCCAACTACATTGGAAAAGACTGTGAAGATATACGAAAGAAGCAATTTCCTCACCCTACCCCTACACAAGAAGAAAAGGACTTTCCAATCGCTTACGCTATGGTTGCATTCACTAACGCGAATTTGGCAGAGAAAGTTTTACAATCCATTTACATGCCGCATAATATTTACTGCATTCACGTAGATGTAAAATCCTCTGAGGCATTTCGCTATGCAATGTGGGCCATGAGTAGTTGCCTTGACAACGTTTTTCTGACCACGAAAACGGTAGACCTTATATGGGCACACGTCAGTACCCTATATGCACAGCGAAACTGCTTAAGTGACTTAATGGAAAGCCCAGTACAGTGGAAATATTTTATGCATATATCTGGACAGGAGTTGCCACTTTACAAGAACGCCGAAATTGTGCGCGCTCTTGCCAATCTGAATGGGTTTAATAACATTGAAAGCTTTGCCATACCTAAAGGCAACTGGCCTCGAATGTTGTACTCACATAGGGTAGAGGTTGTTAAAGGTGCAGATTTTCATAGCAGATACAAGTGGTCTCGGACTGATATTGCGAAAAGTCCCGCCCCTTGGGGAATTCAGCTAAAGAAGGGCTCTAACTTTGTGGCTCTCACTCGTGAAGCTGCCAACTTTATCCTTCATAATAAAGTAGCGATCGACTTTCTGTCATGGCTGAATGACACTGAATCTCCAGACGAAGCATTCTATTCTTCGCTTCAGCAACACCCTGGTTTCCCAGGAGGCATCAGGGGTGAGCAACCTGAGTGGATCTTACGTGCGGTTAGCTGGGAAGATGAGAACACGTGTTACGGAAGATGGGTCCGAAACGTTTGCTGGGTCACAACACGTGATCTGAGTTGGATATTGGGTTCATATTTTCGTAATAGAATCTTCGTTACTAAGATCCCGTTTGATTACAGAGAGGAACTTGTCAAGTGCTTAGCAATCGCAAGATCAACAAGGAAATATGGTCAAGTGTTTAATTTCTCTTTGAACTAGCAGGTGATATTAATAATTATAATAGTTATAATAATAACGTAAAATAAATAGAAGCATATCTGTCATTGAAAATTGACTATCTTAAAAATCAACTAGTCTATAAAATAGATAATATAATTATGGTGATGATGATAATAATAATAATAATAATAATAATAATGATCGAACATATTTTATTGATAACACACTAATAAAGGATTAAATTAACTGCAAAAACCGTGGACGAAGATCCTGCTAGTTGTAAACGTTGGATCTCTAGAAAAGAGATCTAATCAGCCAAAATATAAAGAACCAAAAACGAGAAGTCCAAAGACTACTGCAAAGCTGATTCGTAACAACAGGTATTGTTTTCTTACAACAATATTTCGGCTGGCCATACCAGCCTTCTTCAGGTTTACAGATGTTACTGAACTTATGTAGCAACCTTCTCCATCTATATAATATTGTAGTTGCTACATAAGTTCAGTAACATCTGTAAACCTGAAGAAGGCTGGTAGGGCCAGCCGAAATATTGTTATAAGAAAACAATACACGTTGTTATGAATCAGCTCAGGGGCACCCAACGACAATTTTCGGAAAAATATCTGTTCGGAAGACGATTTGAGATCTAGAATTTTCGGAACATTTGTTGTAAAATTTTATGCTTGCCTGCCTCTCCTAGGATTTTCGAACATCTAAAAACTACTATAGTTGCCCATTTTTAACGGATTTTTACCCTTAAAAGGTCACCTAGAATTTTCGGGAGCCTTTTTTCTGGCTGAAATTTTCGAAAAAAGGTAAGTTTTGATCCCTATAATTTTTGGATCACTAGACTTTCAGCTAGGAAATCCGAACAGATGAAAAAATTTTAGGGAATAAAAATATGCCCATATCTACCGTTTAAATACTAAAATACGCTTAACAATGCTATGTTTAAGTGGTTTTGAACTATATTCTCGTTGGGTGCCCCTGTCAGCTTTGCAGTAGTCTTTGGACTTCTCGTTTTTGATAACATACTAACTATTAAAATCCTATTTACAATTAATTCACTTTAGAAAAAACTATTTCGTCAAAACAGTATTTACAATTCCTTTCGTTTAAAAAAAACACTTAGTTTTGATTAGAAAAAAAATTCATTTCATTAAAGAAAAATTATTCAAATTAAGAACATTTCATTTCAAGTAAAACAATTAATAATAATAATAATAATAATAATTCACCCTCTTAATAGATGAAGTAATGCTCCTTAGGCTTTGTACTGTAAAAGAAACCGGGACAACCTCCATTCATGTGATACCGATAGGGACCTTACTAAACTACGACGGTGACGGCAACGAGGACGCCTAAAACACAACATGCTTAGGAAGACCGCCTCAAACAACAGAGTCAGTTTACAAAGTAAATTTTGGGGATGTTATCATATTGCTGTTGTTCCCTGAGCTAATATAGTCATTTTAAACTAATATTTAATTTGTATTTTAAGATTGGGAATGAAAGGCATTACAAAAATATTTTTAAAAGATAGATTCTTAATGATTTAAAAATTAGCTGATATGAAATAATATATTGAAATTCAGTAAAGCTGTAGTTTATCAATTTTAAAGTTCTGTGTATTTATTTAGGTCACTCATTTTCCCTATCTCAGTCCTGGCAAGACGAGCGACGAATTCTGAACAACCCATAACCCAAACGGTCTTTTAGAAAGTCTGGTAGGCGACCAGCCAGGTACCCTCTTGATTCCCAGAGGCCGAGGCTGCGGAGAGAACCCGGGGAGAGGAGAGGAGAAAATTAAGAACGCGCCCGGGGGACAAAGCTATGCTTGCAAACTCAACTCGCATGCATACTTTTTAGTTTTTGCCTTTTAGGAGGGAATGTCTCTGGGAGATGCTCCTTTTAGAGGGAAAACTTCCCTCGCATTATAGTACAGCAACATTCATGGGGTTTGGGCTGGATAACAATTGACAATAACAACATTTAAGGTAGCCTGGGACCAGGCTCATCGCAGTGGGGAAAAAGGCGAAAAGAAAAATCGGCTCGCTCGCTTTGTTTATTTGTTTGTTTGGTTTTTTTTAGTGTCTGTGCTGTTTTACGTCGTTTTTTGCCTTTTCCCCCACTTCGGAGCCTGGTCTCAGGCTACATTAAAGGACCTGCGTGAAGAGTCAAGGAAATCTCAGGCTGTCCCCTGCTGAAATGCCGAA